CCCCAAAACCCCAAAACCCCAAAACCCCAAAACCCCAAAACCCCAAAACCCCTAGATTTTTCAATAATTGAAAATTTTGGAATCAGTATGGCACATCTTGCTTCAAGCTTCGATTCTACAAGTATTGGTAGGAATAAATATAAATGGGCTGGGCATAAGAAAACAAATATCAGAGAAAATTTATCCTTCTTTGATGGCAACAGTTTCTCACAAAGAAGAGTTTCTAATGCTCCTACTGAACAGAGGAAGATTGCTCATAAAACTTCTGTAAGTCTAGATTATAATCATCTAGATCAATAATTTGGCTAGAGGCAGACGAGAAAGTGTTAGGTTAAGAAAATAGATCTCTCCCACCACTTAAAAATCCAAGGGATTTCAAGAAAAATTCAAGTGTTAATCGAACACTTACTATTGTCGAAAGCCCTGAATTTGGAAAAAGAGGGGTATTTTATACTAATACTTTTTAGAATTCAGGAAGAAATAAAAAGATTTATCGCACTTCAACCAAAAAGAAGTAAAATTTTGAGCTAAAGAGCATAGACCTGTCATATCCCTGCAGCAGAGGAAATCTTCTTTACGAGCTCCTGATAATCCCATAAATCTGTCAACCATAAATAAGGAAGGTCGAAATAAATTTGTAACTAGCTTTGTAATCTGTAGTTCGTTGATAAAATAAAGAGCTATCAAAAATTGCAGGAAAATATTAAAAAGAATCAGTTAGTCACCAGAGTAAGATCAGTCATCTTAAGTATATGATTATTAGCTTTCTTGAGAGTATTATTGATCCATCTTCCGCTCTCAGTAAACCATTGTCATTGCATCTTTGTATCAAAGAAGCTGTAAAAATAGCTATAGTTCAAGCAAAAATTTGGGATATCAGTCAAACGTTACATCGCAAACATTCTATCATACGAAGATCTTGAGGTCTTGCTCAAGAGGAAAGCTTTCATCTACTCAAATTCCCAACATGGGCTCTCACAGTGGGAAAAATGGGCTATTTGAATACAGAAATAACTGGAGAGGCTATATTATTAGGAGATATTATGGTAGCGTAAAAAGAAGAAACTTCTCTGCTAAGGTATTTACCTTATTTATCACTATTAGATTATACAGCGGCACTGGCACAATTATATCATGCAGAAACAAAGAGTTATTTATGAATCTATTCCTGAAAAAGGGGTCTAGAAGTGGCAGCACCAGGAAACCCTGATAAAGATCAAAGTAGTAAATGGAGAACACAACTTAACCAAACTTTGTCATATTTTGACCATATTTATAAATAAGTTATGAGAAGATGCTCAGATAAAAATAAGGTATCACTGGCTCAAGTACAAACGGCAAAATTTAATACAAACAAAGAAAATTTTCAAAAATAATTTATTCAAACCAAAAACCTTTGTTCCAAAGCACAGAGACATAATATTCAAAAACCCTCAAGGATTAGTAAAAGAATACACTCAGAAAGTGCCAGACCAAAAGTGAGTGCCCTTTTGTCAATATAGATGTGGATGATTGTTATCTAAGGCTGGGTTACAAATTAATATCAAGAATTCTATAACAATACGCAACAATGTGATCTCGAAGGTCCCGACGTTAAGGGTCATCTCACCAGAAGAATAGCTCCTTTCACAGATCCAGAAGGAGCGTCTTTTCTTCACAGGAAATAAATGAGAAAGTATAAGTTTTCATCTTTCAATTCTGATTTTTGTATATGGGGTTTTGGGGTTTTGGGGTTTTGGGGTTTTGGGGTTTTGGGGTTTTGGGGTTTTGG